CCTGCCCACCTGCCACCTGCGTGCCTCCCCCGCCGGCCACCAGCCTTGCTGCGATCCAAGCCTGTGGGCCACAGGGGAGGGACCAAGAGGTGCGCCATGCACTTCACGGTAACCGGTCGTTTTGGTTGTGACACCCCTTGGCCTTTTATTATTATGATTAACTGACATAACATCTCCAATGCTTAAATAAACAGTACTCAGAATTTAGTTCAAAAAATGAATGAATATACATAAATGACTATCAGTAATCACTGTAATGAGAGTACTATTAAGAACTTTAGTTTTGAAAAAAAAAAAACTTTAGTCTTGATACATTAACCCCATTCTTCTTGACACCATTCTCTCTCTCCCAAATGAATACAACAATTTTAATAGCCATCTATGTATAAATTAAAATCAAGAAATAAGATCACCTCTGTGAGCTGAACTGGAAAAAAAGAATAACTAGAATCTATCCAAACATATAAATAAATAAAGCATAGCTCTGGCTGGTGTGGCTGTTGGTTGGAGCATCGTCGTCCCCTCCACAGGGCTATGGGTTCGATTCCTGGTCAGGGCACATACTTCAGGTTTGATCCCCAGTTGGGGAACCTCTGGGAAGCAACCAATCAATGTTTCATTCTCACATTGATCTCTCTCTAAAATCAATAAAAGCATATCCTCAGGTGAGGAATTTTTAAAAAGCATAAAAAATTTTATGTATGTTTTCAGGCAAGAGAAATCGGAATCTAGATTTTACATATTGACTTAGCAAGTAGAATATTTATGCACCAATAATTATAAAGTAATGGATAAGAGTCTAGAGTCTGGAGTTGATTAACCAGGGTTGGTAAATTCTGGTTTTGATATTTAAAAACAATGTAAAACTTTTCTGTGCCTTAGTTTCCTCGTTTATAAAATGGGGACAATAATTACAACTTACCACATAGTGTGTTGTGAAAACAGAATAACGCCTATTTATAATAGTGAGTTCCTAAGTAAATATTAGCTATTATTATTCTTTTATAATTAATCACCAAATTCCTTATCCATTGACACTATTAAAATACACAAATTTTGATGGGGAAGCTCAAGTTATGCTTTCTAATTTCAAACTTCTTCTCAGGAAAGGTAAGGGGTCCGTGTTGAACTGAAAAGGTACCCCCTACCCCCAAATATTGGAAAAAAACCTATTAATGAGGCTGATATCTAGGAAGTCACACAATATAATATAAGTGATACCTTAAGTTCATATTAACTGCTTATATTGTACAAAATAGCTCATCACAGCTTACAAGTATGAAAAAAATTCAAACTCTTTACTTTCTTAGAAATTAAAACTTAAATTTGAACCCATTTAAATTCTCCACTACATCAAATGGTCAACATTATGGATATTAGAACTTAGCTTGTGTTTTATACATTTCACAAAATAACACTATTTGGTTGCGAATGTCACCCCTATTTTCTTACAGTAATATAGATTTTCAAAAACAAACAACTTGCCCCTACAGAGATCAGCAGCAGCTAATTACCTGAAATATTAAAAGTTAACAAAAGAAAAAAAGTCTGAACTATTTCAGTGCTCATTGCACTTTGTAATGTGGGGATGCCTACAGTTAAGTTCTAGAAAACAAAATCCTGTAATTAAAATTATGTGTTTTTCTTATCTGGGCTAGAAGTGAATAAAAAAATGCTTAAAAGGAAAAAAAGCTTACTGTAAATTTAGCCATAAAGGAGGTGTGTCATCTTCTCCCCGGAAAATCAGGGAATCACCTGTTGCCAGAGAATCATAATGCCTCTAGCTAAGCCTGACCTCATAATTAATAGGGATTCACAGCATGAAATGCTAACATGTTAGAAACATCAGCAAGCCTGAAATCAAATTACTAAATTCCTACAGCTGGTTATGATCGAAATGGTTTCACTCTTTTCATTTTAAGTACTAATTATAAAAGAATTGAGGCGGCTATTTTGAACTTGAAGATAAAAAGAATATACACCAGAGAACTAGGTATATACTACAGATGTTTTAGTTGACTAGTCTCAGAATGTGGAGTTTCAAGTTCCGCTAAATTGTTGTTATAAAAGCCAACTGGATACACAGTAGTTATTCTTATTTCAAATCACAGGTCATACAGAAGCTACATATTTAAACACAGGTTTAAAAAAAAACCAAAAACACAACTCGATGGGCCCACTACTACATAAGTTTGAACTGTTTAAAGCATACAACCAGAAGTATGAATACTAGTAAAATAAATAAATGAGCTGATAAAATGATTTTCAAATCTGATTTTTTTTCAGATTTATTGTTGAAGTGAGACCTATTAAAATGATGCCTTCAGGTAGAACTCAACACAAATTTCAAATACTGAGCATGCTTAAGGCAATCCTGAGTAGTGTGTATTTCCCACCAGGCAATTAAAAAAAAACTCACATAGCTTAATGCTTTATTAAATATGACAGCGCCCTAGCTGCTTTGGCTCAGTGGGTAGAGCCTCAGCGTGTGGACTGAAGGGTCCCCGAGTTCAATTCCCGTCAAGGGCACACGACCGGGTTGCCTGTTCCATTCCCACTGGGGCCTGCAGGAGGCAGCCAATCAACGATTCTCTCTCATCATTGATGTTTCTCTCTCTCCCTCTCCCTTCCTCTCTGAAATCAATAAAAATATATTTTATAAATAAATATGACAGCAAATCACTTGGTTGTATTTATAACAAAGAATTTATTTCCACAATATTTAAATGATCATGTTTACATGTTTCAAATTCGTCACATCATTAGTTCTTACCAGCTTTTGCATTTTTATCCTTGAAACACTTTCTATAGATAAGCTTAGAAAAAGCATTGCAGCTTCTTGATCAATAATTTAGCACAAGATATATTATTAAATGCTGGCATTTCCTTGACATTCAAGAACTTAGGACAGGAATGGGACGGTGGCATTAAGGGATCCTGGCATTAAAAATAAACGGAGGGGGGAAACAAGTCGCCTAATCCCAAGTCAGGTCGAGTTGGGATGGGAAGTACGTGTATTAGTAAACGTTTTTAAAGCCAAAGCAACTTTCATGCAAGTTAGACGCAAACTTTTTGCTGAAGTTTAACACCGAAGTGCAACACTGATGGCGTGCGGAAGCAAATGGACCAACACGAAACAAACCCTTTGGAGCAACTGTTAAGCAGGATGCCCATAGAGCTGCTTCCTCCCATCAGGAAGGGCTGGAATGGAAAACTAAGCGCCGATGGAAAAGAAGGTAAAGCGCGATGAAAGAGGTCTTAAAATTACACTTAGAGCAATGGCTAACGGCCCGACTCCTACGACTAGAAGCTGCTCCATTCCCCCTACCGCGCAGGGAGCCCGGAGCCCCCACCCACACCCTCAGAACCCGTGGGCAAGGAGGGGCCAGAGAGAGACAGAACACTAATTCCGCGCCCTGTCGCCCGGGAAGCAAAGAGGAGCCTTGGGGTTGGCGGGGACGGCGGAGCCGGCGGCCCGAGCGCCCTCTTTACCTGGTCGCAGACGCGCGGCCAGGCAGGGAGGGCGCGGGGACGTGTGGGGCCGCGCGGGCCGCCTGCGCCTGCCCGCCGCGCCCGGGCCGGGATTCCGACGCCGCTGCCCGAGTCTTCGCCAGCGGACCCCTAGCTGCCAGGAAGCACCGGCGACCCACGGAAGACTGCGTGTCCGGGAAGACAGCGGTCCGCCGGCCGCCATTCATAATCCGGCGGACCGGAAGAAGTGACGTCACTTCCTCCCGTGGCACCGCCAAAACGCTTCCCCCTCGATGGTGCCCCGGGAACCTTTGTTCCCCGCTGTCGGAGAGCCCAGTGCCGGAACCAGTTCGGAAGGCTCCACGGGGAAAGGACGGAGTAGCGGGGCGGAGTGGTGAGTGGTGACGGGCGACCCCTCCCAGCCGCCTCGGGGAGGCTCGAGACCTCCGCGAGGGAAGAGGTGGGAGAGGAGTTCCCTGGGGGTCTCAGTCTCCGGGAAACCTAATTTGCGGGGGATCGCGCGCCCCCGGCTGCCGCTGTCCCCAGTCAGCGGTGTTGGGGCGGGGGGGGAGAATGCGCGCGGGCGGAGGGCGCGGCCCGCAGGCTCAGCCCTGGGAACCCGGTCTCGAACCTCCCTCCGAGGGTTTTGGTGACTTGACTTTCCCGCTCCCTCGGCCCGTGGCTCTCGTCTTCTCTGGGGCGCCCTCTCAAGATCCTTCCCCGGTGCTAGGCCTTGGGAGTGCCGGGCGTTGAGCAGAGGACTGACATTCCCACAGAGCGCCCGCTGTCGCTCTCAGGCTCTCTGCCCCTTGGCTGTTGGGGGGTCGATGCCCTCCCGCCTTCCTAGACGCGCCCCTAAGGTATCGATGTAGCCCAGGGCCGAGAACTCAGCGGGGGGATAGAAAGGGCAGCACCTTTAACAAGGACACGTATTCATTGGAAAGGGGTGCACCTAGCAGAGGCAGCGAAGGCAAAACTTTCTCGAGCCATTGTGAGAGGGCAGCCCTAACGTTGCACTCTTGCTGGGTGGGTTTGAGTGAAGGCATGCGCGTGCAGATGATCAGCTTTGGGCTTAAGAGCGCCCTGTAGGGTGGGAGAGGCGATCCAGGAGAAAGTATGTGCAGGTCCAGTTTAGGTGGGAGAGGTCACAGAAGCCCTAGAAGGTGTTATTTCAACAAAAACTTAGTAGTTCGTGCAATAAAGATATTTGAGTACCTATCAGGTATCAAGCACTAGGTGTATAACCGTGAATTTAAAAAAAAAAAAAAAAAGGTCCCTGCTCCCATGGAGTTGACAGTCCAGTGAGTGGGATTAATGAATTGAAGCCAGATAAAGGATTGGGAAGAGGGTATTGCAGATAGAAACATTGTACAAGTCCCCAGTCGTGAAGAAGGTATTTTAGTTTCACTTTATTGATATTTAGGGTGTGGGTTTTTTTTCCGGGGGGGCAGGGGTGTATTGATAGGTTTGAGGGTTTGTTGTTGTTGTTGTGAAGGGACTTTGGAAATGATTAGAATTGAGTAGGAGAGAAAAGGCCATTACACTTGACTTTGATCGCTTACTAATTCTGTAGCCATTATTTTGTGGTACTTTGCAAAGTAAATATAAACTCTCCCCTTAAAGTACTCTGAGTTGTATAGAGAGTATAACGAGGTTTTTGGGGGGTTTTTTGGTGCTTTTTTTTTTGGGGGGGGGGTTATAGTTTAAGTTAGAAAGTCCCAGTACCATGATAAAGCACTAAAAGACATACTAGGAGGGAGAGATTATTGGTTGTATTGGGGGCGGAGAAGGACACACCAACTGTGAGTATAGTCCTCATGAGAAGTTGTGTTTGAATTGGGTTTTCATAGGATTTGGAGATAAAAACTGGTTAAAAAGCTTTCCGGGCAGGGAAAAATGGGAAGTGGCGAGGCCAGTTAGTGGCTCTGTTGTCAGGAAGATCAAGATGAAGAATTAAACTTTTTTCACTAGTCAAGAATCTTCTTAAATGCTAGGCCAAGAAATTGGGCTTTATGTTGAAGGCAGTGGGAAGCCTTAATTTTTGAGGAAGAAAAAAAATTTAATAAAAAATATGTTTTGGGAACATTAATATGGTGAAAATATTGAAGTCAAGGAGAATACTACATTATTGTTGTAGTACAAAAAAAAAAAAAGCTAACAAAGACCCGAATTTGAGTAGCAGCAGAAGTGAAAAACAGAGAAAATATGAGAAATGTTACAGAGTCAGAATCCACAGGAAAGGACTGCTGATTGTTTGTATATAAGGAGCAGGGGGAGGACTCAAGAGAGAGATTTAAACCTCAGACCTGAGTAATGGAGAGGTGTGTCATTTACTTAAAGAAATTGCAGGACAATAAACTTTTGGGGAAGGTATTCATAATCTGAATTTTAGTCATCACTGAATTTGAGATACTATTAGGGTAAGCAGGCAGACATTTCTATGAAGCAATTGGAAATGTGAAATTTGAGTTTAAGAAAGATTGAAGTGGGGGAAAACACGAAATCATCTGCCTAGAGATGATAGTTGGAAACATGATATACAGGGGTGGGCAAAAGTAGGTTTATAGTTGTGAGTACATGAGAGTTAATAAAGCTAGTGCAATAATCATCACCTGCCTGTCTTTTTCCATATGAACAACTATAAGCCTACTTTTGCCCACCCCTGTACATACAATTGCCAAGGAAGAAATCGGTTCCAGAACTAATGAAGATGGACAAGGACAGATACTTGTGCTACACCAAGAGAAACAAGAGTGAGAAGATAAGCCAGAGAACGAGTTGTCAGAGATAGAAGAGGAAAGCCAGGAAAGCTGAATATAATAGAACTCAAGGAGGAGAAGGTTTTTTGAACGAGGAAGTAGATAACATATTCACTTGGTCAGCATTTACTGAGTACCAGCTATCTGTCAGGCACAATGCTAGACATATCTTTACAGCAGTAGGTAAGACCCATCTAGTGCTGACCCTCATGGCATTGACATTCTAGTGAGGGTGACAAACCCGTTTACATAATTAACAGTGTAGTAGCTATTATAAATAAGTACAGGATGTTTTGGGACCAGTAAGAATATGTGCAGAAATTGAGACTTGAAGAATGAATAAGATGGGGGATGGGACACTCTACTAAAGTGCTGAGGTAAAAAAGATACGTTGAAAGATTTGAAATACCGGTAAGTCATGTGGATACAACAGCGTGGGAATAGCTTGAGGTACTAGGTAACATTTAATGAGCATGTGCTCTGTGCCAGGTACTGTCATAACTGCTTCACATGTGCTATCAGATCACATAGCACATTGGAGACCTTGTTAAGAATCTTGTTCTTTAAACTTTGGACAGTGAGAAGTTTAACGAGCATTTTAAGCAAGTGAGTGATATGAAATGATTTGGAGGAGACGAGAGTGGTTGTGGGAAGAGTGATTACTAGTAAGCTATTGCTATGGGGTTGTTAATTGATGGAGATGGTAGCTTGGTCTCTAGGGTGGTGGTAATAAGGGTTGATGAATTTAAGATGTACTTAAGGTTTGGTTATTAGATGGCGGGTGGGGGGGTGTTGAGGGAAACCAGAATTTGCTAGGTAGGCTAAAGCACTTGCCTCCAAACTTTTCTCATCATTGAGTAAAAAGAACAAAAAAAATTTGAACACACATATGTGTGTATTTAGTTATCAATTTATGCATATACTACTACAGTGGGACCTTGACTTATGAGTTTAATTCGTTCTGAGACCGAGCTCGTTAAGGAGCTCGTTAACTCAAATTACTCTATCAACTCAATGCAAAAAATCGTCCGAGAGACAGCTGGTATCTCAAAAAACTCTTTAGTCGGGACACTCGTAAGTCAAGACCCCACTGTATAACTGTATATTAATAGTTTATTTTAATAAAAATTTTAAAAGAAAAAGAAGTTCTAATATTTTTCTTCTTGTATTCCACAGTAGAGACCACTGGGCTAGAGGGACATATTAGTAATTTAGAGCAGGGATACAAGTCTTATAATGTAGTTGCTGACTCTTGCCACTAGTCTGTAATGTAAACCTTTAATCTCTGATTATGGAAATGCATAACAGTAAATACCTTCTGTTTTTTCAGCATAGAATTTTAAGTAATGATTTCTCTAGTTTTCTATAAGGATTCCTTTAAGTATCAATCCTTTGGTCAGTATCTCACAAGACATTGTTCTGGATAAGTAAACTGCTATGCCCTTTAGCTATGAAAAGTTAGGTCAATAGAAAGACTAGGCTGTGTACTCAGGAAGAGTGGCAGTTTTACCCTTTTCATCATGGATATTTTATGAGGAGCTGTTTTCTCCTCAGAATATATATGATGACCAGCTCCATGAGCAAATTTTAAAATAACCTTTCTGTACTTATTCTTATATATAGGTGATGTATGATTAATACAATTTTTTAAAAAAGACAAAGGTTGCTTCTCAGTTTTTGTTAAATTCTTATTAATATGGCTGAGGTAGATTATTGTAGGTTATTTTCCTTTTGGTATTTACCTTTGGATTTCTTCTCATGGGTGATTCAGATATTTTAGTAGAGCACAGAATTTGACAATAATTTTGAGGCCATCAAATTGATATCTAATACCGTCTAGAAAACTTAAAAAAAAAAAAAATTCAGTGTGTGTATCCTGTCAAAGTTGGAGAGGTCTTAGGCGGGAAGTGGATGGGGAAGGAACAAATAAAATCCATTTTCAAGCTGAGCTTTCATATGCCAAGATCAACCTACAGCAAGTTTAATACCTGTTTAAATTCCTGAAAATGAGAGATTACTGTGGAATTGCTGACAGATTCTTCACTCTAGCAGTGCAAGTGTGTTGCATTATTTTAATAGTAACCTCGAGGATAGAAGATTTCAAGCCCTAGAATATTGATCAAAGGATTGAACTCATAGTGTATGTTTTTATTCTAACAATTCCTTGCCTGGAGAAATATTTGAAAAAGTGACAACCAGAAGTAGAAGCAAGCACATGATAGCATTGGTATTAATGGAAAACGAAAACTTTTTAACATTTCGGAACTTCATAAGCCTTTGATGTATATCTTTACTATTTTTAATCTCCTTAGACATAGAGCATTATCATAGGCACTATAGGTAGATACAGCACCATCCCTCAGAGACCTTCGTTTTTAAAAGTAGGTTAAGGCATGTGATACCACAATCTAAATGTGATCCAATGAGATTATCATT